TGTGTATTACTGTGTATTGTGCGTATCAGTGTGTGTATTACTGTGTGTATTGTTTTGTATCAGTGTGTGTATCAGTGTGTGTATTGTTGTGTGTATCAGTGTGTGTATCAGTGTGTGTTGCAGTAAACATCATCAGGATGTAACGAGTCCTGAAAACACATCTCTGGACAGTGGAGAGGCTAATTGCACTAATTAACCACACAGTGTGCGTGTCTGTGTGTGTGTGTGTGTGTGTGTGTGTGTGTGTGTGTGTGTGTTAACACGTGTCTCTTGGATGCACACACTCATATTTTGTGTGTTAATCTGTGTGTGTGTCCCTTTTCACATCCCATTAGACGAAGCACGCTGCTGCTCCTGCACCAAGGCATGCTGGGTAGATAATTAAACATGAGTCCCAGTGAGACACACACACACACACACACACACACACACAGAAATATGTCAACAGGAGCCCAGAGGGGCTGAGACGTGTGTGTGTGTGTGTGTGTGTGTGTGTGTGTGTGAGTTAAATTAAATGATGAAAATAAATGACACCAGCCAGAGGAAACAAACACACGTCTCGTCCACACATCCACTGACTCTACTGTTTCTACTGTTGCCTTGACGACACTTGAGTTCCTGCTGATGACTACAACTTTTTCACGACTTCAGCGACTGAAAACTCTCATCTATCGTTCAGACCAAAGATGTTACATTACGACGTGTCAAAAAATTTTGATCTAAATCAGACACACACCGCCCGATTCAGTGAGACGACTCCGTCGCACGTGTTGAAGTTAAAAGTTTACGTTCTTCGTTAACAACATGAAAGTTTGGTGGACAGATGCTGCTGCCCTGGGTGATTGTTTTCGTTGGCTAAACGTAACCACGTACATTTGTTAGCTAAATGTAACCATGTACGTTTGTCGGCTAAATGTAACCATGTACGTTTGTTGTACGTTTGTCGGCTAAATGTAACCATGTACGTTTGTCGGCCAAATGTAACCATGTACGTTTGTTGTACGTTTGTCGGCTAAATGTAACCACCTATGTTTGTCAGCTAATCGCACATGGTGTCAGCTCACCACGTACGTTTGTTAGCAAAACATAACTACGTATGTTTGTAGGCCACACGTAACCATGTGTGTTTATTGGCTAAATATAACCACGACAGATTTCATTCTATAATCTTCTACAGTAATGACGACTCTTAAACGTGGATAAACACCAAATGTAG